CAAATGGGCCCTGACCGCAGGATTTGGAATTACTAGCTACATTCTAAAATAGACTTACACAAGCATAAGATAGCACTGTAGTTGGACAGACTTCAAAGTATAACTCAAAACTTATACAGTAAAACCTTGAAAACCTACTTGCAGACATAATAGATCAACGTGGTACTGCCTGTACGAGTTACTGTTGTGGAAACGAAATAGTTGCTTCTGTTTCAATATTGTGATGGGTGGCCAGGTCATTTCCTACCAACAGCAAAATGCAATGAGATAATAAAGCAGCATAAAGTAAACTGCATAAAAATGCATTGGTTTTTTTTTTAGTTTAGAGCAGGAAAAGGTTAACCTTTTTTTCCTTTCTGACTGCGGACAGTATGCAAGTACCAGAATCACAAGTGCTTCAGGGAGTACAAAAACCAAACTGTATTCAGTGTGGCTGGTTAAAAAGGAAAATCTGAGTAGTCACAATTTTTTTGTTTTTTTAAACTATGTCTCCAAGCAAGCTCATGACCGCAGTATTATGCTTTGGCTTTAAAGCAGGAGCTTGGATTAATTCAGTTTTGGTGTTGTCAAATTTAGTGCTAGTATAAGGAATTTCAGTATCACGTCAAGGAAAGCAGCCTCTGACTTTAATTTGTGCAGTAGGTCTGACACAACCTGTCTGGCGTTTCAAATGGTCAGTTCTAATCAGTAGTGGTGTCATTCAGCAAATCAATAAAAGTTTGCATTAATGGAGTTTAAATGTCCAACAGGCATAAATATTCTTGCTGTCACTGACTAGATGGATTTGTCTGCCTGCTCCAGATCTTGACCATGCTTACAATTTAAAAAAAAAAAAAAAAAAAAAAATCCTTTCTGATACTTTTACTGTTATTTTTTGTCTCTGTTTTGGAAAAAAATAAAACCCGTTTTTGCTGATACATCTGGTACTTTGAGTGCTTAAAAACAGCTCCATTGATTACTTTTGATTTAGAAACTTCTCAGAAGGAAATTGCATAACAAGACTGGGAGCTCAAATATGTGAGTTTTGGCAAAGAGCTGCGGAAGAAAGGCCTGGCTGTAGCAACCTCACAAGAAAAGAACTTGACATTTTGAAAAATTTTTATTGACCGGTGTGGACAGGGAACAGGAAGTCAGATCACTCTCACAGGCAAGCTGCAGTCTCTTCCTTGCTGACCTTTAAATGCCACTTAGTGTCATCAGAAAATCAAGGAAATGCTAATAACAGGGCTTTGGGTAAGAGAGTTATGTGTGAGGGATGCCTTTTGAAAACAAACATAAGCTGACTTCCATTTTGATACACATCTATTTTTGTAAAGTGGAATTCTCACATCAGTACCGTTATATTTTGAATAGATTAATCTCATACTACTAATACTAAAATTTTCAGAAGGATCCGTAAGATATCAGAGCTTCTGTTCATCCTTAAAAAGGGAGTAGTTTGCAGAAGATGATTTATAATTGCGTTCTAGGTTGATGACATTGGAACACAGAGTGGCCTCTGCTTCAGACTCTCAGTCCAGCTTGTGTTGAGTTCAGCGGGCTGTGGACATTGGTAGTCTTGTAGCAAGTTGACTTCTCAGTGTCATTTGAAAATGGAACTGGTATGCCTAAGTTACCAGGTTACTCTGAGCCTTCATACTTCTGTGTTTTTAACAGCCCTTCCAAAAAATCTTTGAAAGCTATATTTCAACTACAAGAACTAGTAGGAAAAAATCCTAAAATTAAATTACTTAACCCCAAAGAAAGCATCTTGTACACTAGAAAAAAGAAAGTTCCTTCGATTTTGCGAGTTTAATGAGAGGGGAAAAAACTAGCTAGCAAGTATAACATGAAAAATGAATCCATGAAACCTGACGGCACCATATGTAGATACTGCGGCTGTCTCTTGCCTCCTTCCACCATCTGCTTCGTGAAATTGAAATGGACTTTAGTCCGTGGTTATGGTTCAGTACATGTTCAGGAGCCTTCCTCAACTAGAGTTTAACTTGACTGCTGACCTATGCTGGTGTATCTCTGTGCTGGGTTTGCTTTGTCTCTGTTCAAGGTGTGGGGGGGGGAGGAGGAAACTTTCTTTTTTCTTGCAAGTTTGCTTTACTAGTAGTCTACCAAAGACTATGATTTTAGAATGAGACTGTTTTTTTTTTAATGCAGTTACAAAACACATGGATCGTAGGAACTGATTTTGATTCTGAGCAGAACATTCGTGCTAATGTGTTTGTCAAATGAAACAGAGGACAGGGCTGATTTTTTAGCCAGCTACATTGTCTGCAGTATTTGAGCTTGGCTGTCCTCTCACTTGCACTGCTGTAGTGTGTGTGGTTCCACTGAAATTGAGCCGTTGATAACAAATTAAAACAAGAAGAAATGAGAGATGGTTTGGGTAAATGGCATGTACATATCAGGTTGCTGGAAGCTGGCTTAATTAATGTTGTATTCTCTTAATAGTTGCCTTGCTAACCTGCCTGAAAACCAAACCTCCAAAATCCAGTGATTTGGAAAGAAGCTGCACTGCATCTGACACAACGCAAAATATAAAAGCTGAGTAAGGCGTTGTCTCTCTAGATTAGGTTAAGAACAAAAGACTAGTCATGCCAAATACACTCATGTTAGTGGTTTATGTACAACGTTTGGTTTTTCCTCTTAAAGCTAATGAAAAGGACTACACACATGGGAGAGCTTGAAGGTCTGCCTCCAGTTAGGCAAAGCTCTCATTGCTGAATGATGGGGCTTTCAAAACTACTTTGAAGTTGTCCTCATTCCATTCCCCTGGAAGCTGTAGCGAGTTTTTATTTTAGGGGAAGAGTCTTAACATGAACATTCTTGAAATGCTCACTCAGTAAATAATGGGCTTGATACAAAGGTTGGACTTGGAAAAGAAAACATAGATGAATATCCAAGGTTTTAATTTTTTCTTTCATTAAAATCTTTTTATTATAAACTATTTATAGTTTCTTGTATTACATTTTTTTCCTGCATCTTCTGTTAGGAAATCCAAGCTTTAAAAAAACAGCTTAAAATGTGCAGTTGTTCATCACTGTATTCCTTCACAGTGACCTGTTGCCTGGAAAAGGATTCTGATTGCTCTTCAGCCTCGAGACCCTGACGTAGAATTGAATAGGGTACTAACTGAAAACTGGACGCATTCTATCTTCTTAGCGGTGTCCTGTATTTGTAATGCTGGGAGGGAAGTCTTAGGGGTTTTTTTATTATTAATATACATCTTTCAGTCTCTTAGCAAAACTGCTCAACCTTTTTACCCAGCAAGGAAAATCAAAGAATTAAACAGTCACAAAAGCACCTCTGTGGAATACACTTTAAAATTATTTTGTTCAGTCATTTTAGAAGTGTGTGAAAAGAGGAGGCCACTGTATATTTCACCAGATGAACCCTGTCATTTCTTTAGGAGTAAACAAACTTTATTTGATAGAACCAGGTACAACATGCACTAAGAATGACTTAATACTTCTAGGTTACAGATGAGATCATTAGTTTTTTCCACTGCCCAAGATAGAAGGCCAAGAAAAAAGTAGATTTCTTTATAAGATTTGACCTAATCTTATAAACTCCACCTTCCACTTCGAATTTTTTTCTTCATTTGCTCGAAAGGTGAAGAAGCTATTGATGCTATGTGGCAAATACTGCTTTAATCCTTGAGTAAAACTCTAGTCAGTCAGAGAAGACCAGTAACATGCCCTGTTTCTGCTAAATATACTATTCCAACATGAAGTCTGCTGTGCTATGTGCAACATAAAAGATAACAAAAGCATCCAGCTGATAGTTTGAAGTCAGTGACAGTTATCACACATGTAGTAAATGCAGGAAAGACACAAATCAGTTTGCTATCTGCATTTAGCTTTTTCGGTTGCTTTCACAGGAATCTATAGAACATTGAACTTTCCTAGGCAGTAAGGAACCTGTATTACGTACATCCTTTTGCATTGCTAGCTGTTTATACTTCACCAGTGCTTCCTCAACAGCGTTAAAATTAAATTAATTGTCTTTTTGAGCTTGCTGCCCCATGTTTTTAGTTTTTATCTAAGATTGCTCTTGGTGCTTGTGGAAAGGGAATGTCATGCAGTGTCATGAGTCAAATTCACTGCAGGTTACGCTCCTACAGAAACCCAGATATCTACCACAACGATGAGGCAGCCAAACAATTGAGGCAATGCATTTTCCAGCACTTTCTACGTTGAAAAACTTAGGTTCAGAGAACTACCTGTTTTATTTGGAAGGTGATTGGATTTGTGATGGCTTTTAGTTTCCTGCCAGTGTCTATTCTGCGGCCTGGGACAAAATTCTCACTGAGGGCTTTATGTCCTTGATGGGTGATTTTTGCAAGTGCGGTAGCATGTTCTGTTGTAATAAGAACAGCATTGTCAACCATGGTCATCAGCCTGCGCGTCCAGAATAGGTATCCTTCTCCAGCTCATGGTGGATTGGTATTGGTGATTTCATGAAAGCCATTTCTGAGAAGAAATGACAATCTCATAACTTAATTAAAAAGTAAAATCTTCAATTTAGTATGGAAGCTTCTGTTAATTAAGAATAGCAAAAGGTGACTCAGGTTTTGAGGGAAAAGTATTTGCAAGATCTTTATTAGCAGATTGAAAAAGTAATGTTGAATTTAAGTGACAGAACTAAACTCAAAATGCACATTTTCAAGCAATCATATTTCCTAGTCTTTCCTATTTGTAGATTTACTACTGTATGACTCCATATATTTCTATTTCTGTATTAATATAAAAATGTATTAAGGCCTTCATCTGCTCATCCCACTCATCGTGCCTCCTGAGTTATTAGTATTGCCTGAAAGCTTTGTTCCAGTTGACCTTTAGAAGTATCCAAAAGTTACAGTTTGCGATTCAGCAAGTTTGGCAGAGGAACATACGTGATTATTCATATCATTGTTTAAACGGTAACCAGATGTGTGTTGTTTTTCTTCTTTCTTTCCCATTGTTTTTAGAAAGTGATGTTAATCCAAGATGTTAATCCATTTACAGGGTTTTTCCACAGCACCAAATTCCCCTTCGGTGAATTCTCGTTCCAGTAGCCTGGGTCCATCCCTGTCTCTTGGTAACATCTCAGGAATGACAGCAAACCCAGAAGTGAAAAAGCGCCGAGCACCTCCTCCACCAGTTGTGACACCTGCGTTGCAGAACATGGAGATGAGTGGACAAGAAAAGACGGCAGCACAGGTAACAGTGACAGCACAGAATAGCATTCTTTGCTTGATGTGCTGGCTACCATCAGTTCATTCATCAGAGTTCAAGGAATTCACAGATATTTTGTGTAGCTGTTAACTAAAGCTCACCAAAACTCTTGATCTTATAAAATTCTCGAAAGTCTTGGAACTTTGTACATATTTACTGAGTTTTATTGAGACTGCCCCTAGCTTTTTCCCATGTCGAGAATCTTTCTAGATCAGAAAAGTTTTTGTGAGACATGGTGCTAAAAGAAAGAAGGTGAAGAAAAAGTAAGGCAGAAAAGCTGGAAATTGTATAGGGTGACAAAGTGCCGTTATTGGCCAGGGCAGTCCTGGAAAATGGGTGACATTTCTAATGACTGATGAAAATCTTCAGCGTGCTGTTTTGCCTAGATATTTGTCAGGCTGTCGCCTACATCCCAATTTCCTGTGCTGCCGTGGGATACCAGAAGATCTGCTCTGCTTTCTGAGTTGGACCATGTGACCTTTTAAAGCAGTGCTCTGTTTTTGCTTTTAGAAAAGGTCACCGTTCCACAATACAGTTGCTGAGAATTTAACAGAAATGGGGGGAAACCATTCTGAAGACCTAATCCTTTGAAAAGAATAGAGTTAAGGAAAAAGAAAATTGTTCTTGTTTTTATAGTGACATTCAAGTATGTATGTTACTAAACATGCGCAAGCACGTGAAGACTTCTGGTTCCACCATCAACAAAAAATATCGCATTCTAAATGTAAACTGTAGAAGTCACTGTGTAAAGCTATATCTGGATGCCAGATAAGAATGCAAGGAACCAATACCTTCAAGGTTGTGTAATGTGGACTTACTCTGATCTGTTTAGGGCTTGTCACCTCTGCAGCAGACTGACCTTTGGAATGTGAACTGTATTAGTGTGAAATGGAGTCAGGAAGTAATCTTTTAGTTCGCTATAGTGGAGGAGGATTCATCAAGTGCTCAATCTCCCTCTTTTATTTATCTGTGTTAATACATACGTTAAATGCCTCTGCAGTGAAGCATTATGTAAGCAAAGCTGATGCATGCTCTTGGTAAAGGAGTGTGGAATCTTATTTCCCTATTCTTAGTATATCTAAAAGTGTGATTGCTGGAACATAGTGGTGTTTCATCTTTCAAAATTTTAATAGGTGGCTTTGAAATAGCACTTACTTACAGATGCAGCTGAAGAGAAACAATGTTTTCTTGCAGCATTAGGTGCACTTTCTTTTTAAAGATTTCCTTTTGAAATTCCTACTGTAAACATTTTGATGAGGTTTCTTGTGTCCCCCAGAGTTACACATTTAATATGTTTAAGATAAATAGATCTTTTCATACAAAGATACTATGGCATTGTAACTCTGAAGTTTATACAAGTGTGGTAATCACAGACTATATTACTCTGCCATTCTCTTAGGCTTATCTACATGCAGTGTGACACTGAGATTTTAAATTGTGTTGCACAAAACCACTGAAAGTCTAAACTCTCTTTAAAAATGTGAACATTTTTATTTTCGGTATTGTTGCAAATAGATTAAAGTGCTGACTTTCTGAAGCCATTGGGAGAAAAGTGTTTATTTTATTTATCACAAGTAGCATACAGTACAATGTCAACTTGAAGTTCTTTTAGTCTAAAGGTAAAGCTATTTTGAAGAAGGAAACAGATGAAGATTGCGTCACAAGATTTTCCATTATGGAGTTAATTTTGGGCGGTAGAAATGTCTTTTGTAGCTGACAAAACCAGTGAAGAGCACAGTAGATTATGAGCACAGTTGCTAGGGTCTGGCTGCATTTGTTGTGTATGGGACATCTTACTGAAAATGGCTGCACAGGTCAAAATATTAAACAGTTATGGTGTGCTTCTGAAACTCCGAGGCTGAAAGTTGCTCACAGACTGCCCTGTAGTTTGAATGAGAACGTGTGGCATACAGTTGAAATGAAGCACAAGTTCCATGAAGCAATCAAAAACTGAGAGAAGAGATTAATTATTCGGTATTATGTGGCAAGGTAGCAACAGGGATACTGTTTATAAGAAAACCCAAACAGTACTGGTTTATCTATGTGCAGACTATCCAGTTTGCTGTGAAAATAGAGTGAAAAATCTCAGGGTGTAAGTTTATTTCTTTAGTTTATGGGAAAGAATTAGCACTGATCTTTTTTTTTCAGGGAAGGACGTCAATTGCTTATTAATGGACTTCCTTCCATAAAAAGATAAGATGTTTGTTTAGAAAACTTTATTTATGTGCAACTGTTACTAACAGGAAGATCCTGCAAAAGGGGAACATGTTTATTTCCAGTAGTACATTAATAGAAAATGGAAAAGGTGGTATTCTGAACTTTCAGAAGGTTTTTTCTTTTTTAACTATCTGGTTCCATAAAGTTGTGTAGAAAACCGCATACTGCAGCTGTTATGAATACCTGTAGTTTGACTTTCTAACCCAATAAGCATGTTATTTTTAACTTGTTGTCAAGCTCCAGGGCGTTCAGTTTTCTGTACAGCATAGATGATACTTTAGGAATATATATCTCATCTCCCTGCCTAGTGGTTGCAAGCAAAAATTTCCACTTGTATGAAGACTGGGGTGTTTTAATTTATGCTTTAGATTCAGATTTTCTCCATTCACTTTTCTAGATAGGTGGATTACTGCAATACAGTTTTACCATACAGCAGCTTTTGTTTCTGTGGGGCTTACAGTGATTTACCTCCTGGAGCGTAAGGCTCCCGCAGTAACTTTAATTACTTTTTAGTGCAGTATCATTAGTTTTCCATGTCTCTTTAGAGGTAGTGTTCCCTCTGTAACTGGTGTAAGTCTCCGCTAGAAAATACTCCTTTCTATTCAGAGCATAATTGAGCAATGTTTCAGAGTGTGCTGAACATGCACTAAGTAGTTTGCAAAGGAATGTGGAGTCAAATAAAAGAGTCTACAGATTTCTTCCCTGGGCACTTCCCTCCCCAAACCCCCATTTATTTAAACATCTCCCAAATGATGATGATTAGAATAATGAGAAATCACTTGAAAAAAAAATATTCTTCAAAAGACCGGGGTATGGTAACATTTCCAGTATGAAGCCCAGAAGGTTGGATGCTTCAGAAGTGAGGTGGTCCCTCCGGTTCTTAAGTTGCAACACGGAGCCCGCACCATTCGGCAAGTAGAGCAGAACAGTTAAAAAAAGGAGCAAACTGATTTGATTGTTTGCAAACAATCCCTGTTCTCTGCCACAGCATTTTAGATGATGTGGGAGCAGAATTTGGGGCCACCTTACAGTAGGCATAGTGTAAACTGAGTGCCCACCCCAAAAAGCAAGCACCTTATAGACGAAATATATAAAACTGTACGAGTATGCCATTACAGATAGAGCACACAGAGAAAAGCCACACGTGAAGCCTGACAGAATGAAACACCTCTTCTCAGAGACTTATTCATTGACCTCTCTTAAAAAGAGAAGGAAGTGTGTTTGGGTCATTTCTTGGAAGAAGTATAGAATTGACTGTTTGAGTCTTTTGGAGGTCCAGAGAATTGTGCAGTGGTGAATTAGTTTATGGGAATATCTACTTCTTTTTTTTTTTAGTCAGTTTGTATGGGGAAATTGAGAAATTGGGGTGAGGGGGGATGATCACAGAATCACAGAATGGTAGGGGTTGCAAGGGACCTCTGTGGGTCATCTAGTCCAACCCTCCTGCCGAAGCAGGGTCACCTACAGTAGGTTGTAGAGGACCTTGTCCAGGCGGGTCTTGAATATCTCCAGAGAAAGAGACTCCACAATGATAAAGAAGGCCTCACGGACTTTCTGTAAGAGACTTGTCTATGAAATAGAGTGGTTTATACAGAACAAAATCATGAGGCTTTTTGAGACAACATTGGCATTAGAAGAGGGCTCTTCATTGCCTTGGTCTGTATAATAGCTGTGATATCAACTCCAGAAGCTAGACATGCAACGTGTAGACTGTGATAAAGGAGCCATGTGCTGTTTCAGCTGCTGTGATTTTCAGAACAGAAGCACTTTCATATAATACGTAAATGTAACAGGAGGCATTTGGGATTTGCTACTAGCCAGTTAATTTCATGTAATAATAGAAGAATGGGGCGATGTAACAAATTCAATATTCTGACATATGTTTCATAGATTTTATTCTTAGTTTTAATATTTCAAGATAGTGGGTTTAAATTAAAATTGTTTTGTTGCTTTTAATGCGAGTGAGGAACTGGCCTCACGCTTTCAGAACGTACCTTTAAAACAAACACAATTTTCAGGTTTATTTCCAGTTTATATAGTTTCCTGGAAGTTGCTGTAGACAAATTAACGTATGTGACGTACTGTGGGTTTTGCACTGCTTCTTACGTTCCCCTCTTCTCCATTTAGACCTTAGACTTGGACTGCTGAGGACAGTTGTTGACTCGCCATTCTTAGTCGAGGCCATACCTTTGGAGCAGACTACTTGCCTTGCCCCCAGTGTTTTATCAATTTAAGAGAATCATTTTAACATGAACTAATGTAAATGAGATTTTCAGATCTTTCCTGGAGAAAGTAAGGTACCCACACTAAAAATTTGCCAAAATTCTAGTTTAGATAGAAAAGATACTTTCCGTATTTGCTGTATGTCTTATTAAACAGAAGGACATTAAAAATGTAGAAATGCAGAAGAAATGTTATTTTTTGCCACCTTAGCTGATAATTTCTAATACTGATCACCACATGGTATTTTTATTCTTCTTATTTTGGTTTATTTTTCCTTTTCAAGTGTTTCTGTACTCCTGTTGGAGACAGCAGCCTCCTGCGATGCAAGTTCCCCTGTTCCAGTGCATATTCCACTTGAAAGAGTTCTGATTCTGCTAGCGATCAGTGATAGGAGTGCCACGGAGCTGGCAGGACACTGGGTTAGGCATCCTAGCCATTTAGTAGCATTTTCATGCCTTTGGTAGGGATGCCTTTCTCACAGCAGAATTTGGGTTACGGTACTATTCTCTGTCCTTTTATATGTAAACCAACATAAATAGAATACA